CTCTCCACCTCCACCCACAGTCACCTCTGCCAATGCCACCCACAGCCTGGGATGAAGGCCACCCCAGCCACATCCGCCAAGGCTCAGACCGAAATCACCAGGCCCTGACATTCAGCCCTAAGCCACGCAGCTGGAGGCTTGTGGCTCCTGGGGGCCCAGATTGGGGTGGCTGTCCATCCCAGGGCAGCTGTTTGCATGGTGTTCTTGGACATAAATACAAGTTGAAGATCAGCATTCCATGACTGGTGCTCTTTGACGCCCTAATATTCTCCTCCCGGCTAATCCGAGTGCTGCTTTGAGGCCCCCTTCCTCTGTGCCCCACTCCCCTCATTCCCCAGAGAAGATCGCCGTTACTCTAAGCTGATTCCCTTGGGCCCTGCTGACAGCCACCCTGAGGGTAGGGCACCCAGGGCAGTGGAAAGAACCATGGGCTGTGAGTCAGGGGCCTGGGTTTAAGTTCTACCCCTGCCCTTCACTCATCAGGAGACTTTGGGCAAGGCCTGGGCCTTCTGTGTGCCTTAGTTTCCTCGTCTGTCAAATGGAGCACCTCTCATCCACCCTAGCCACCTTGGAGAAGGGTGGGAGGGAATGAGAGTAGATGTGAACTGGTCTTATAAACTTCAGATGCTGAGTGGGCCCAGGCAGAAACCCAAACCACTCCATTTCTTTTCCCTTCTTTTGCTCCTACCCCCGTGGCTGGGGCAGCCACCGTTGAAGAAGAACCACAGTAGACTCAGCTGCTGCAGAAAGACCTTTACTGGGCAGACAGGGGCATGAGTCTAGCGCCAATGGACCAGGGTGAGGGGGAAGGCACGTGCTCCGAAGGAGCAGGGGTGGCATCCCTGTCTAGGGCCTCGCCTGAATGCACTAAGGGCTGGCCCGTGGGACAGGCTCGGGGGAGGTCCGCCACAGAGGCTTCGGGCCTCACCATCATGAAGCTGCCACCCCTGACACGGGGACGTAGCCCTTGCTCTCACCTCTGTCTTGGCTGATACCAGGGAGTGCTATGGGGTGGGGGCAGGGTCTTGGGAGGGCCCTTCAGGAAGGAGAAGGGGCTGGGACAAAATCTGCCTGTATGATGGAGGGTTGGGCAGTGTGGTAGAACCAGAGACTTCTGGGGACCCCAGTTGCGGGTGGTATTTGGAGGCAGTGGGAGATATGAACTTCAAGGTTGAGGTCCAGGTTAGAGCAGGACAACTGGACCTCGAAGCTCCTTTGGGCTCAGGTGAAGGTGAATGGTCATCAGTGGAACAGAACTCGCGAGAAAGGAGTGTTATTCCCCAGCACTCTAGCAAGCACACAGCTGTGGGCACACACACGGTACACATTCCTGGATATTCGCTCAGTAGACACCCATGGTGGTACACCTTGCACACACATTACGCACACCTGTGGGTATGTGTGCAAACACCACATAACAGCAGTACTCAGTCGTGTGCACACATCTGTGTCAGGCAGGGGCCTTGTGTAATAAGAGGGGTCCGTGGTGGGTGTGTAGTGCAATTGGAGATGGATTCCTTCCTGAACAGATCACCCCCAGCCCCTGCACAGGTGGACATGGGGTGGGGTGGGCAACAGTTACGTCTTGACCCTCAGGAGTGCCTGCTGCCTCATGAAGTTCAGGATGTCCATCTTGACGGTGTTGACCGTGGTCCGGTGGTACCAGCGCATGATGGGCAGCCCATCTGGCCCTACCAGGAACTTCTCAAAGTTCCAGCGGATGTCATGGACCTTCATGGGATCCCAGAAAAGGCGGTTAGGTGAACCCACGAGCTCCGAGGTGGGCGGACAGGAGTTCTGCAGCAGGGATGAGAGGGTAGTGTCAGACCAGCCTGGAGCGGAGGGGGTTGGGTGGGTGGGTTGTGGCCCTGGGCCCTCCCATCCTCCTTCTCCCAAGGCTGCCCTGGGAAAAGAGCACCTGTTAGAAGACTGACTCCCAGCCCCAGCTCTGGCTCTAACAGATTGTGAGACCCTTGGCATGTCCCTTCCTCTGGGTGGGCCTCATCTGCAAAGCCGTCTAGTTGGAAGAACAGTCAGATGCCAAGGGGAAGGTGGTGTGGGCCTTGTCTCCACAGGTGGCTGGCTCCAGGAGCAGCTGCTACATCACTGTTGGAAGCAGAGCAAAGCCCCCAGGCTGCTCTGAGCACTTCTCACTCACCTTCAGGAAAGTGTAGAACTTCTGCTCTTTCTCCCCATTCACATCCCCTTTCTCGAAGAGCTGGAAGTTGGGGACAAAGCCACCACCTGGGCGGACATACCTGCAAGGAATATTTTTATGTGGGTCCCAAGAAGGTGGGCACAGGGATGAGGATTTTATTCCACAGGAAACAGTGGGAGCTATTGAATGTTGAGTAAGCATAGGCATAATGTGTCATCTGCAATCTTCTTTTTCTAGCTTGCTCCCTTGAGAGCACCCCCACCTCCTGACTCCTGCACCCCTCTGCCACGCCCCTCACCATGCACTTCGCAACCAGTCATCCCTGTCCCTCTCCCTCCTCTGTCCCCCCATTCCCCTCATTCTGCTAAACAGGATTCATAGAAGGGAGGGTAGCTCTTGGTGGCTGATAAATGTCCATCATGAGTAGGGGACAACATAAGAGCTACCTGAGGCTGGGTGGGTGGGGGACAGGGTGGGCTGTGCTAGAGGAACTTCCCCAGGATGCCGAGTGAGCACTCACTTGAGGCTGGCTAGGATCTCAGAGTTGTCTCCTGGTTCCTGTTTTCCAAATTGGTTGCAGGGGAAGCCCAGAATGACCAGACCAAATGGTCCAAGCTCTTCCTGTAGTGCATTCAGTTCTGTGCCAGGGAGAGAGAGCGGAGATGGGGGCGCCTGGTGATGACCCCGCCTCGTCCACGCCACCTCATCTGCTCACCCACTATACAGCTGAGGACACTGAGGCCCGGAAAGGGGTAAGGACTTGCCAAGATCACCCTGTGAGTTCATGGCGGAGCTGGAATTCAAGTCCTGTCTACCTGACTCTAATCTGACTGCAATAAGAATGGATTGGAGGTTTTCAGGAAAAGAGAAATATCCTTCCTCAGATAGCAGACCCACCTGCCCACTGCCAAGGCCCACCACCGGGGCCAGTGGGTTGAGGGCTCATTCCTGCTGTGCCTAGCCCAACCCATGCTCTCAGGATTTAGTTTCCTGGAGTGGGAGCCATCACTCCCTGGGCAGAAGGTGGAGGACTTCCTTAGTGTGGGGTGGGGACCTCACGACCCTCCCACGCCCTTTGGGAACTCAGGACCCTAAGGGTGGCCCTGGCCCAGCCCTTCCGCTTCTCGGGGGACCTCAGGCCTCTTGTGCAGTCCCAGCCCATCTCTTGCACAACCACACTCCGCTTTACTCTAAGGGCTGGACAGAAGCATTCTGTCCCAGAGCACTCACTGCCCACTGGGCCCTGC